TAAGGTTATAAACACAGTTGAATGCAATGACTTAATAATGAATAAGACATGAGGTTTTTATAGTGGTTCGGATGCTTAAAGCGATTCTTACATCCACTGTTTCTTTTATATAAATGTGTTACAAGAGGTCGCGTATAGCGAACAATGAGTAGAGGTACAATGGTTGTGTATTCAGAGAAAATATTAAGACAGTCTCATTCTCTTAGGTTGTCTTTGCTATTGGTTGTTATGAAAATTAGAGATTGGTCGATCCCAAATTTGAGAGGGGGAGTCCTCTATTTATAGCTTATGAATTCAAGGTAATGATTACAAGTCTGCAAGTGGGTAGGTGTCGTGCAGGTCCTTCTTTGCCTCCCATTGGTTGATAACTTTGGAAATATCCTCAAATTATCTGGGGCTTGGACAGGTGTGCAGTCCCCATTCACTTTTAGACAAAACCTGAATCTGCTAGGTTGGGACAATCGTATTCTCTCTGTCTTGGGGCGATGAGGCAGATCCTGAATGGTGCAAAGCTTTCTTAAACTCTGTTTGGTGCTTGTTGATGTAAGCTTACGTCAATGATGCGTGTTTTCATAAACATGCAAATGTAGCAAATGCACTAGTCGCAACAAGTAATAGAATGATGAATAGAGTATCGTTCCCATGAGGATTGCGTGTCAAGTACTAATTTTCCTAATTTGTATCAAGTTGGAGTAAACAAAAAATGGTTGGATTTGTGGGAGACAATTAAGCTGAAGTTAAAACAAAATCAACAACGTAATTTAAAATCTAACTAATGAAGGCAATATCAATTGAAGACAAAGTGGTTAGGGTTTTGACTTCACTAGGATTTTCGGGTTTAGTCTACGATTTCTTTTGCTTCTAAGTTCATATGCAAGGATTATAAATCGGACATCCTAATCTGCAGAATATACCTTCTCAGGCTATATTCTGCTACTTATCCCTACTAAGCTTCCGCACCCTACAAATTGAAGGTTAGTAGTTCCAAGTCCATTAAGCTAAGTGGAATCCTAAATTGATTTCATGGATCTTCGAACCTATTTCTAGTGTTCAATCCATCAATGGTATTTACTCTAAGAGGCTAATACATGAATCACTTCTGAGTCTCATCATGCTCAACAATTAATTACAATTAGAACAAGAATAAATACATAATCCAAGCAATAGAATGTGAAAGCAATATCAATTTATAGATTAGACATTAAAATCTCAATTACATCAAAACCCTAACTTAAAAGTGAGTTAGTTCATACTCAAAATAAAGCAACTCATAAGAAAAACTATAAAAACAGAGTTCAACATGCTGGAAAAACGAAAGAAGAATAAAATATTCCCTATTTGATGAACCCAAAGGCTTCCAATCTCCAATTTTTCTCTTCTCCCCTCCAAACAGCGTCGAACCCCTTTTAAAATGAACAAGTCCCTCTTAAATAGTCGACCCCAAAACCCTAAGACTCATCCAATACAATTAAAACGCACAATTTTAACAAACTAAAATATTGCAGTTTTCGTAGCGGTGAACTTCTCTGAAATTACGAAACTGCCCTCCGCTTGCTTCTTTGCTTGAATCTTCAATCTTCTTGATCCCTGATAGGAACAAGCTTCAGAGTGCTTTCAATCCGCATCAGAATTTTCCCGATTCCTGAAATTCGCTTGATTTTGGGTCTAGAAACTCAATTCCGCTCGGTTTTGCTCTAACTGCGCGTTTTGGCCTGAAACGTAAAATATATAAAATTAAGTTACAATTCAGGTACAAATTTAAGAAGAAGTATCCAAAATCCAGCTAAAAAGCATGGATAAAATAGTATAATCCTAAGATTAACCCTAATTTTTTAGACATAATAGGTGAGAAACATAAATATACGGTACTTACGTTCTTAAATGATGCTCAATTTTGGACTCAAGAGAAATGACACATAATCCAAGCATCTATTTTTGACTTCTTGTTATGAAGTAATCAAGTATTGAGCTAATGCGACAACACTTATACGCAAGATTGTAAGGCAATGCTATCCTTTTAGCCCCCAGTCTTAAGAACCAAGCAGTTTTTGCTTCTAAACTCTGGGCTTGGAAGGATTATTATAAAGGAAACCGCGTACATAATAGACAGTCACGCAAGTGGCTTCACATCATGGCCCCCATCGTCACTAAAAACATAGCTTAAATGTTACATGATGATTAGTGTGACAAAGGCACAAAGCTGTGTCCCACTCATGTACTTATCTATATGCTGGGTTCTTTTATATTCCAAAACCACTCTTCAAAACATAACATCTGGTTTTACGCCTAGTCCCGTACTACACTAGTACATAGCTTTATAAATAACCCCTCGTCTGTTGCTTCATTAAAAAGATTGTTACTCCTTACGAGTTACGAGCACTTGTTTTTCACTAGAGCTCACAGTTTGTTCTCCGTAACCCAAAGATTCTAAAAGAAGAAGTTTTAGGGTAACTAAGATGAGTTCGACGAGCCGAGCTTGGATCGCAGCAGCCAGTATTGCAGTAGTTGTGGCCTTGAAAGATCAAGGCTTCTGCAGATGGAACTATGCTACAAGATCAATACAACAACATACTAAGAATAATCTCTGGTCAATTTCACAGGCTAAGAAGCTCTCTTCCACATCTTCTGCGGTGGTTTCAAGTGAAGTCAGAAGAGGTGAAGCAGACACTGAGTCTTTGAGGAAAGTTATGTACTTGAGTAATTGGGGTCCATATTGAAAGCTAAGTAATTAAAGATCAGGATGATTGATCGATACTTCAGTGAAAGGAAAATATCGTATCTGGATATTTAAAGAAAATTAATGCATGCTGAGCGAATTCATCAAGTCACATAAGGATAGAATTGCAGCTGGACGGGCCATGGTTTTTTTTTTTTTCATATATACAACTAAGGACATCGATGTGTGATTGTGCGGCAAATTGATCAATGACGTATATTGTAAATCTAATGGAAACGGATTATCAATAACTTTACCGATGATTACAGTTAGCTTCTTGGAAATTAATCTTCTTTTAATTTATGATTTTTATACTCACTTTATTTTTTTATATGTTTGGACAAAATTGTGACTCTGTAATTAGCCCTGTTCATGGTAGCTTCTCAATTTGTGAATCCCCTCGTAAGTTGGGCTACTTTAGCAAAGTAAGACATAATCGACCTTGAGACTTTATGTTGTTTCTTCGTAAAGTTGACTCACATAACTAGTCAAGAAATCTAAATAAAACTTCACACATACGGTAATTCTTAAGGCCTAACGAATGAAGAACTTAAATCAAAAGCCATTCAAGTCTCAGTACCAGTTGACCCATCAGCTAGACGTCCAGGAGTTAGTTAAAGAGATCAAGACTGCAGGTCTTAGTTAAATAGCTCTGCCTAAGTATGTGTTGTCCAAAACCATGAGGCTGTTGAGAAAAATTATCAAAACTCCTTGAAAAAAATTTAGCTATAAGAAATGGTTTGAGTCTTTTGACACTAATAAAAACGCTCCAAAAAACTGCATATACTTGAGTAGTACTGAAAACACTTTTCACCGTAAACTGCATCTCTACGCGAACGACAACTTCCCACCCAAAGTTTGGCCTCACGACGGGTGCCACCCGAAAAGTTTCAAAATGACAGTTTCCCACCTATCCATCCAATTTCTCCGTTAATTTCTACTACAAAAGGATAGAATGGTAATTTCAAAAAACAAATTAAAGGATAATTATGTCCTTTTGTCCCCAATATATAACCTTGAAAAACAAAACCCCTATTTTCTCTTCTTCTCTTTCCTTTCTCAATCGCACTTGGCCGCTTTATGTCTTCCCCTTCTCTTTTCTTTTCTTGCTTCTTTTTCTCTCTTCCCTTTCCTTTTTCTTCTCTTCTTATCTTTCTTCACTCTGGCAGTGGCCGCTGCTAGCCAAGATTGAGAAGGAGATTGAACATGAAGGCTTGAATAAAGGCCATGTGTCACCCTACACGCCCCATTTAGTTGATGATAGTGATGATGATCATGGTGATGATGTGGATCCTTATGGCAGTTTGTGATGAACATGAAAGAATTCTTGAAATTAAAGAACATCTTGAAGATCCTGATAATTTTTTTTTCATTTCAAATTTTTGTTTTTATGAATTTAACAAGATGAGTTTGATTTTGTTTTTTATTCAGTTTGAAGATTCTTCGATTGATCTGCTTCGAAGTTTGGCAGACATGGATATAACATACAAAGCTTTAAAATTAATTTTTTTATGGGAAAATTTTTGTTTTTGTTCTTGTTTGTTCAGTGATTGAAGTTCAAAACTTGATCATAATTTGAGTTGTAATTACAGGAGACTGATATCGGGGGGGTTTGTGAATCAATTGAGAAAGCATTCATCAAATCATGTCAGAAGATTAGTGAAGCATCTTGTTAGGTTACCAAAATTTTTGAAAGAAAAAAAAAAAAAACTGAATTTACCATTTTTTCCTTCTGTAGTTGAAATTAACAGAGAAATTGGATGGATGGGTGAGACTCTGTCATTTTGAAACTTTTCAGGTGGCAACTTGTCCTTAGGCCAAACCTCGGGTGGGAAGTTGTTGTTCGCCCTTAATTTTGTTAAGCATCTATTGTCCTCCTACCAAGAAAATTAAAATTAAATTACAAAATAAGAGAGAAAAGTTTATATTGTACTCTTTGTTTAATGAATCATCGGAAACATTGGCTCACATTATTAAATTTAGTCCTCATTTCTTTACCAAAATGTTTGGCGCATTAACTAGCAGCACTAATTAACTTATAAATTAGACACTAGGCATCCTTTTCAGTTTTTAAAAAGTACCTGTGGTTTCTTTTCCCATTCTTCGGGCTTAAGTGGATTTTAATTAAGAAAAACCAGGTGCGCTATACCAGAATTTCTTTGTCGTCATGTTTCTAAAAACCCATTTTGTCCTCACTGAATAAGACTAACCAAGAAGTTCTACAAGGACATTCAAGTCATATTACATTAATTTCCCATCTACCGACTCAAAAATCCATTGGCTTTGTTATTGCTAAAACCACCGGCAAAAACTGCAGCCATTGGTTTTATTTCCAAAACATTTGGCTTTACTTTATACTATCCCAGCGTCCCTCCCTATATAAACAAGAAACCTCGTGCCAATTAGGCCATCGGAGTACAAGAGTCTTTACAAAAGAACCAGAGAAGATTTTCTGAAGAAAACATTGAAGATGAGTTCAAAAAGCAAAGCTTGGATTGTGGCAGCCAGTGTTGCAGCAGTTGAAGCCTTGAAAGATCAAGGGTTCTGCAGATGGAACTACACCATCAGATCATTACACCAACATGCCAAGAACAATATCAGATCAGTTTCTCAGTCGTCCAAGAAGTTGTCTTCTTCATCTTCTGCTGTGGTTTCAAGCAAATTAGCAGATCAGAAAACAAAGCAATCTGAGGAATCTTTAAGGACAGTTATGTACTTGAGCTGTTGGGGTCCCAATAACTGAGCTCATCAAGAGTTGCAGTGAGTTTTGAAGGTTTGCATGAGGAATCAACGAATTATAGCTATAGATTCGAATTTGTCACTCTCATGTAGTAGGTATAGATTCATGAGATGGTAGATATCTGTGTTACAAGTAATTGTAACTTGTAAATTGTTTATATACACAAATTGAGAGAATTATTTGCACCCATCTTCGCTCCGAGTTTCCATTTAATTTGTTCAGCACACTATGCTTATCTCTAACCCAAATTAGATCATAAAAGAGAAGCTTTATAATTAAAGCATAATAGATGAGTTCTGTCCGAGGAGCATAGCATGGATGATGGTCGATGGATGACAGCAGCCAGTATCACCTGCAGCAATTATAGACGCCTTGAAAGATCAAGTGATTTTATAGTGATCACTTAATTAACGGAGAGTTGGACAATATAACTGTAAGTCTGTAACTAACTATCATGTACATGGAAGATTCATCAATTTTGCTTATAAAAACATGATTTACCTTGAGACTTTATTTTGTTTATTGCCTTCATGCTATAAAGTTGATTCACATGACTGGTCAAGGAGTCTAAACAGAACTTCTCACTAGTTAGTCTTGTGGGTATTGCTCCGTAATTCTGAACAAGCCTTTAATTAGTACAAGTCATCATCAATAGAAGTGATTAATATTAAGTTGGTTCCCCGTGAGAAGTAGAGAAGGTAAAGCAATACATGAACTGAAGCAAATATATTAAGGCTAAGCGAGTGCCAATTAATTTATTGTAAGTTTAAGCCAAAAGGAGAGGAAATTTAACTCCCAACATCCAGGTTTACATTTTAAGTTTAAGCCAAAAGGAGAGGAAATTTAACTCCCGACATCCAGGTTTACATTTAACAAAATGGCCTTGAAAATCTTTTTGATTTTTTTTTTTTTATTTAGAAAAGCTGACGTGGCACGCTTAAGATTCATCAAACATGTAAAATAGATTAAACTGAAAAAATTTAAACATATGTGGGTAAAATCATAATTAACGAAAGTTGTTTAAATTTTGAAATTTGAAAATGAGTCCCCACCCTTCAAAATCGCTTAATCGAGCCATATACCCAAAAAACGACCAACGAATACTATTCCTTTCTCTGCGATTTTCGGTGACTACAATGCCCAAATTTCGGAAAATTTTCAATCGTAAAGCTTCCTTACACAAAACATTGGCTGACATTCACAAAGAGGAGGAAAACCCAACCCCACTTCAAATCCTAGACTCTGGCGGCGCCACTAGTTCAAAGGTTGTCGAAGACGACACTCCGGTGGATCATCCGATGAGTGAAGGTGGTCCATAGGCAGAGGAGATGATGGCGGCATAAGAACAAAGAGAAGAATCGGAAAACGATTCTAAAGAGGAGGACGCCGGTGAGAATTCAGGTGAGAAGGAGGATGCCAGTGAAGAAATGATACGTTTTTTTTACTTTTTTTTTTTTAATTGGATGAGAAATGGATTGATTTGTGCGAATTTGGGGGAGATGTGGTTGTGGCGTTTTGTCGAGTAGTTGGCGAGCACTGGTGGAGTGGCTTTGTTTGAGTTTTAGAGGATGGGGGAAGGCAAGGGAGGCCGTAGGGAGGTTGTTTTAGGGAGTTCGGTGGGCTGGGGATGGCAGGAGGTGGCCGAATTTGGCGGGCTGGAGGGCTAACCTGCATATTGGCAAGGTTGGCCCCGCACAACTTGCACAACGCTATGCGCGTTGTGCGAGGCCAGCCTTACCAATATGGGCTTGCATGATTGTTGGTTATGATTGTTGTACCAAACAATCATGCAAGCCCTACTGTAGGGCTGTAGGGGTTGCATGATTGTTTGCAGGGCTGGCTATGATTGTTGTGTTAGAATTGTTAAATTGCAGGGCTGGCTATGATGCATTAGATTTTTCATTGCTTTATTATATAACGGGGAAATTACCTTCATTTTATTAAGTATTTTAAGATTATTTGGTAACCTTATTTTTGCTCTTCCCAATCTACTTCCAACAACTTTCTTCCTCCACCCACTCACCAAAATATTCAACAACCAAAACAATTTGTCTCATGTCTAATAATAGCCAAGTACCTATAATACAAGAAAAAAAAAATATTATTAACTGATGTATTAAGGGTTGAAAGATTTTAAAAAGTATCTGTAGAGTCGCTTGAGTGATTCAGTGTATCGCTTAAGCGATCTAGTATATCGTTTACTGGATCGCTTAAGCGATCTTATGCCATTTACCTGATCACTTAAGCGATCTGCTACTATATACCAGAGTTATAACATATCGCTTAAGCGATCTTTTGCCATATACCTGATCGCTTAAGCGATCTACGAACTGCTGCATTATACCAGACATACCAGATCGCTTAAGTGATCCATCATATCCAGAACACATTTTCAGTCATCTCCACCTATATAGATTCGCTTTAAAACATCCCGAACCACTATAGAAATCTCTCTTATCACTCTATTATTTCTGGTTTTGCAACTTATATATCGCTGCACCATAATCAACTCTCGTATCATTCATGTGAATTTCTAAGACTTTTTTGACATTTGTACGTGCGAATCGGTGTTGTCAAATATACACTTCAACACTATAAATTAAGATAATTCTTATTAAAATTCCTAAGTCAAAGTGTGTATATCACAATTTGGAACATAAAAGAGAAAAAAAAGTCATCAGTATCCCTATTTGAATTTCTATACTCCTATTCCATGGCTAATGATAGTGGACTTAAATCTTAATTCATAATCTATAATTTATTATTAATTCATGTTGATGCTAATTTTAACTAACGATATTGTACGTGCAAAGTGTTAAGAGAGTCTTAGAAATTATTGTGATATGATTGTGAGAGTTAATTATGATGCTGAGATGATATATGTTTGAAGAAACATAAATAAAAGATTGACAAGGTATTTTAATAGTGGTTCAGATGCTAAAACGAATCCTACATCCATGTTATTTTATTATTCTCCAACTATTTTTTCTGATATCGCCTAAGTACAAAAATGAGTAATGTTTTGTTTACAGAGAAGAATAATGGCAAAGCTCAAGTATATACCTAACTCTCATATGTCCAGCCTCTCTTTTTATGAAGAGAGCTATCCATTTTACACCTTGGAGCTCAACGTAATAGTGCTTTTGCAAGTTGTCTTAACACATGGAGAGCTCTCATTCATCTAGATCCTTATTTGATAAAAGGTGGGCATATATTATATAATATTTTCTTTAGGACGTTTAGGTTTTGATAACTAATACCCTTTACCTTAAGTCGTGTTGCTCTGATTAGCGGTACTGATGTCAATGTATATTTTTTAGGCATAGCAATTCAAGAATTCAAAATGCTATGCCAGAGGTTTCATTTATATAAAATTTAAAAGTAAATATTTCAATATACTTTAAAATAATTGTACAAGTACAATAGCAAACTAGATATTTAGGCCCAAAGTTTTTGTAGTGGTCATGGACGGTGGACTATCTAAAGCTCACCAGAGGAACATACTTGTGTAAAAGCCTACAAGCTAAAGCATGGGTAGCTATATGTGTCATCTTATCCGAACGACTCAAACTACGTGTCTATGGCCATTTTTCACATGGATATGTGCCTTGTGCTCCAATGAATTTGGTGCACCGTGCTTAGCATCTTTCTAAATCTGTACCAGTCTTATTAATTATAGTAAAGTATAAGGAGAAATAATGGCAAGGACATAATATTTTATATTTTAGAGTCGGGACTGTAATAGTGTAATTTAAAAAAGCGCTCCATGAAAGATTGAGGCTGATAAAGTAAGACTTATCTTCTCTGTCATCATTGTTGTTCCTTTTTATGACCGAATCTTGCCAGTAGGAGGAGGTGCATGTGGTGCTGCCTGCTGTGGTGCTGTTCATTAAATTACACGGGAAAGACGGTAATACGTGTTCACTCATCCAATTTAATAATATTCTCCAATCACAAGTAACTTTGAACTTTCTCTCTAATATAATAGTGCGCTTAAAACTTAAAGCAACATAATATCAAGGATCGATGGAAGGGATCTTGCCAAGTGGTTTAGTACTTGAAGATCTTTGAATGAATTAAATATTATTCTAAACTACTTATGAAAGCGCTCTTGAAACCAGGAACTTTATATGGCAAACCGCTTTTCTTTTTCTTTTCCTGGTTATTCACCCATATATATATATATATATATATATATATATATAGATATTATATATATAGAACTACATTTCCAAGAGCAATGGCCATCCACTTGTAATCAACCATTACAATCCAGTTTATTTCTGACTAACAAGATCCTCTTTCTCTTTCTTTCCCAAAAGTACTTGAGTTTGTTTGGGAACTGGAGATGTTTAGGAACAAAAGCCGGGAATTCTTTCAATTAGGATCTCAGTATTGCATGAAGCAAGGACCAAGCTTCCAAGTGACTCTGGTTGTACATCATCTTGTTCTTCTGAGCATGTGAGTAGGTTTTCAGAAGCTTCTATACCAAAATTGCAATAATGTTTCAAAGGTAGTGATGCTAACAGAGCTTAAACAAGCTGAGGAGTCCTCTCGGACTGTGATGTACCTAGTTGCTGGGGACCTAATTAAGTTTTTCTAGTAGTGTCCGTACATAATACAAGTTTTCAGTATTATCGATCCTGCAGTTTCCCGAGGCACATGGAAGCACTTAATAGCTTATTGTACATAATTTGTGGATTGTATTGTATATTTCAGAGATTGTAATTTCCCTGATGACTATGTTTCTTTGTCTAAGTTAATGTTAAAAATATATTATCTTGATGAATGCATAATTAAGAAATGTCCCAATCCATTTCAGCAAGTTCATTACGTATTACGTTATAGTTACCTAAAAGATATATTATGATATAATTAACACCTTTATGCCAAGGGTTGTATGTGTGCGCGTGAGGTCAATCTCAGAGCATTATGCTAGAAATATAAATGTTATCCATAATCCTCATTTTCTCATCTCCTATTTAGGAAGCCCATGAAGCTGCCAGTATCATTGCCCACTTCTCGTTAACTTTTATTCCTTTCCACAAAT